CGGGAAGAAAAGGGGGGAAGAGAATAAGAACAAACAAGGCTCTCAATTAATCACCAAAATGTCAGACATAAAATATCCATCCTAACAACAAATATTTATACGGGTTGTAGTATCTTTTGTACTTATTACCTTTTCGTCTTCCTTTCCGAAAATGTCAACCATATAATTAAATTGAAGTAAAAGCATCATAAAGTGGAGAAAGCAAAAGGCTAAAAACAAAGAGAAAGTAATCTAGATGCTAACCCTTTTCAATAAAAATGGCTGAATTCACTTAACCTTCCTTCACCATTACCAATTTTTCCATCGAAAAGTCAATCAGAAGAACAGAATTTGGCCTCTTCTTTCGAATCCATCCTCTCTGTAATATTTTTGTTTGCTCTACTTATACACGCCAAAATAGTGAGGGTCACTTCCACTATTCTCAAAAAAAATGAAATGGTGGCATCACAAGACCAATCATATACCATTATAGCTGTTTTTCATTTTCCCCCATTCTTTGTCTGCTAAAGTCCACTACAAAAATTGTGACTGCGCCAAGTGTAACGGGCTTGGAGTCGACAAGTGTACGTCCTCGATTGGACCAAAAGCGTCTGTTTCCCCCACGACATGGACAACTAAAATTGCAGCATTTGTATCTTATAAGTGTATTTTCCCCTTTTTTTATAATGATTTCTGTATTTCCTAATGTGGGAATTTAAGGTTTGTGTCCTGTCCAATGAGCCATTCCAATGCGCACATTTTTATCCAAAGTGCGCATATTTCTATGGTTGAAAAAAGTGCATGCACATTTCCTCCTTACCCTGTATCTTCACTTCCTGTAGCCTATGGTATGGAAAGGAACCAATAGATGTATATAAATTGGAAATATCCCTTGTAGTTCATTTTAATAAAATTTTTGCTGGTTAAAAAATGAAAAACCTTGTATCTTCACTTCCCAAAAGCAAAGGCATATGCTCTAGCTCTTCCTCTTTTTAAAGCATTTGGGTTGAAATTCCTCTCCACTTTACAGCCCAACTCCATAAATTTTTCTTCCCAACTTGAAAGCTCTATTTGACTTTGATAGAACCAATTAAAAAACAAAACCTCATGAAAATGAAATCTTCTTAGTGGGGTTTCCTGTTCATGGACTTAATTTGTTTTCACATTAAATTACATCCAACAACAGTTTTATTTTCAATTGTTGCACATAATATTTTGTCACTTTGCTTAGGATGTAGACCCCAGTCCAGTGCATGCGACATGCCTCTTATAATAATTATTAATGTGGAAATTAAAATTATGCTAATGACACATCCCATGATTTAATATTTTAGAAAACGACTGCAGCCAACCCCTTAACATTTTCTTATTATTTTCATTTAAAATTGACATTGCATGATTTAATAATTTAGTTTCATCAAGTGAAGGATTTTAAAGTTTTGCTTGTTACAAACATAATTTTCTTTTTATTTTGTTATATAATTCTGTAGCAATATGAATCAAATGAAGGATTTTTAAAGTTAGCATTAGATCATTTAGATTTAGAATGACTTCTTGACTGTCAATTATATAGTCTAATAGTTTAAATCTTTAGATCAAAACAAGTTCTCGAGGATTTGAATATTTTCAATTTAGTTCAACTAACTACTAATTAATATTGATAAATTTTTGGACATTGATACATATATCTTTTGATTTAATAAACTCTATAACATTTTATTGCAAAATTATTATTTTTCAATCTAAATTAAAGGGTGCAAAACTTAAAAATGTGCATATAATATGAGAGAATTTGTTGTAGTAGGTGCATTTATATTATATTTTAATGATTTAACTAATTGGGTATCAACAACTTAGAAGGTGTGTTGAACTAAAAGGTGTCCAAATCATTTTCCTAAATTTTTAATTAAGTCACCTCTCTAAATTTGTAGGCTACTAGGCATGCATGATGCATGATTCTAACAGAAACCGGCCAGAACTTGGCAAAGCTGCATCTATTTTAGAAACCTAACCAAAGTTAGGCACATAAGTTGTAAATACTTATTTCATTAATTAAGGTAAGTGTAGGTTAGTTATAAGTCATTTTCTTTAACAATATCAACAGCTTGTATAATGCCTACGTTTTCAAGCCAACATGAAGGTTGTCTTCAAATTCGAATGACTTCTTTTTTAGTATATTAGAGGGTTAACTACTTAATATTATAAACATTTGAATTATTGACTATAACCTCAAACCAAAAATTTTAAATTAATGAATATCAACTCGGTCAATTTAAATGACTTCTAACAATATATAGATCAAGGTTTTTTTTTTTTTTAAATGTTAAGGGTGTTTTTGACCAACTTGTATGCACCTTGTGCCCACCTTGAGATTAATCCTTTTTTGTTATCTTAAGAATGTATCACCTAGTGCATATTTATATATATATTTATTTATTTATTTACCTTCATTCTGGTATATTCAATAAAATTAATTTCTTAGGATGTTATTTCTAAGACTTCAAATTCTAAACCTAACTTAATAACACAACAGTTAGATCCATCTCTAGGAGCTATAGATCAGGTTTCATTTTAGAATTCTAGGCTAAAGCTATAGTTATAATTGTAAGTTTTTTAATTTTTAATATAACAAAAATATGTAAAATATATAACATAGATAAAATTTATTTTAATTATATTTTTTATATTTTTAAAATAATTATAAAAAAAACCAAAATATAAAGCAGCAAACAGCGTTTCCAAATCAAGCCACAAATTAGAAGTTTCGTCAAAAGTATATTATGTTTCTCCAATGATTTAATGTTTGAAATGGTTCCTAAACTTTGATTTAATGTTTGAAATGGTTCCTAAACTTTGAATTCTGTCTCAATTTGGTCCCCAAACTTTTTGGGCTTGAAATAGCCTTTATTTTCCAGCTCTTTCTTGGCCTTTTCCATTAGTAGAAAGCAGGTGTGCCGTTAATTCTTCAGAAAATTGATCTTTATTTAATTTTAATTATAACTAAAAATTTAGCTACCTCTTAACTAAGGGTAAGTCAAACTTTTTCCCTAAAGTTTTCTCTCCTCAACATAGGAGCCTCAACCCTTCTTTCACCTCTTCTTCACATCCCCTTTACCTAAACTACACACCAGAACCGCAACAAGGCTTGATCGCCATTGTCTTCTTCTCTTCTGTGCATTGTGACCGCCCTCGTATCAAAATTTCATATCAAAATATAATATATATTGCTCAAAAATAAAAACGAATCACTCTAAC